TTCTGTCTCCGGAGTCTGCACTTTGGGTCCAATTCCTGCCTGCACACAGCTACACCTAACAATTCACTTGTAGCTGAAAGCACACCTTGTGATCTTTGCATGGATCTTTGGAAAACAGGCCATTTCTCCTCTTGGCTTCTGCTATGGAAATCTTGTTGCACTTTCTTATTCACCCAGGACCAGGTTTTTCAACCTGAAAAACAAGAAAAAGACTAGCACACCATAAAAAACAACAACAATAACAAAAAATAAAAAATAAAACATCACAAACAGCAGTACAGAACCAGGAACATGTGATCTGTCAGCCTGAAAAGAGAGAGAGACACACATGCACACACAAAAAATTATATTCCCAGCATCCATGGGATAGTACCAAGAAACTGATAAAAGTCGTGTTTAATTAAAGACTAGATAAGGAGAATATATTTGCGATTTTTAAGGCTTTGTCGTTTTATTTAGTATTTTGTTTTCTTTACAAAAAAAATTGAGGTGTGAAATGTTCATGTGTTATGCCCGGATTTGATTGTTAATGACGTCCATTGTTTTAAAGTACAGAGCCAAACAAAGCAAGAATTCTTCAGAGAAGAGGCAGTCAGCTGTCTGCAGTAGCTTCAGCAAGGCTGAAGATCGATGATTTTTCTATTAAAGGAAAGTTTAAAGGGCAAAACTTCTGTTATGTTTTCAATTCGTTTAATTAAATATTTAATTAAATAAAGCTTTCATGAAATGTAAAACATTTTCTGGCAGTGGTGTAAATGCATTTATTCTATTTTGAATGCAGAGTGGTATTACTATGTTAATTATTTGTGCTGTGAGATCCAAGTTTACATAATGAAGTGGCTGAAAATCTGTGTCACCACCACCTGAAGTATATGTGTGAATGTCTTTCTTGTCTCCTCTGTGTCTGCCTTTAGTGTTGCAAATACTTCATTAGCATCATGAATTAAGCTGTGTTGCCAAAACACCAATTACATGAATACATATTAACATCAAAGTCAGTGGTGCAGAGGTATCGGAGCCTGTCTGAGAACAAATTAATAAGCTGAGGGATAAAATGCTTTTTTACTTAAGGTCTGCTTTGAAGTACTTTGATTATATACTGTGAGCCATATGAATTAACCATTTCAGCTTTTAATACAGGTATATTTTTCTTCATGAAACAAGATGCAATAATTAGAAATTCTGCTTTTTTTTACCAACCAGACATTGTGACTCAAACGGTGATAGTATCAGCCTTCTACACCAACACATAACTTTTAATACCTCTTTTTTTCTTAGAGTTATAGTCATCTTTTGAGTGTTTGTATGTGTACTCGTGCGGTTTTCATCAGTAATGAAATTTACTGTAATCAGAAAAATATATATTTCTATGTAATAAAAAAAACACCACAAAAAATGTTTTGGTTTTGTTTAAATGTGACTACATTCGAGATGTAGTTATCCATTCATTACATCTCTGCCCACATTAGGCGCATTTTAAACATGCATATCATTTGAGTTGAACAGACAAAACTAACCCTGCGTTCAGCAAGGCCGAGAACACCAGAGAACGAAAACGTTTTCTTTGTTGCTTGCTTAAACAAGTATTTGTAAAGAGTTCACTATCAGGACGCTTTTCAGCACCAGGAACGAGACAGCGCTCGCGCGCGACGCACACGCGCGCGCACAGACTTTAGTCTACGACAGGACCAATGACTTTCACTCATTTACAACACGGGAGGCTCCGGGGAAGGCGTCAAAAGCACCTACGAGACGGTGGAAAAGGTAACAAACTCGATACAAATGAAGTGTTATCCTAAAAGCTTTATTTAACGGGAAACTTTACTTTGAACCTGATTAATGCTTCATAGTGATAGTACGGTTTTTGAAGTGTTCTTGCTTTGTGTTTGGGATTGTATTTACTGAATGCAGATTTTAGGGTTACGAGGCTTGTTGTCTGTGTTTAGGCTTTATGCCGTCCCTCGGTGAACTTAATTTTACTTTTTTTCCTGGAAAGACCCGTTAGATGTGTTGTTAACCCGCGTCAGTGTTATTTTTCTGGGTTTTCGTAACTAAATTCCTCTGTGTTGTCTTACTGCTTAACTTGTGCTCACAGAAACATTCAATTAGATTGCCATAAAATGCTAAAAAGTAATGACTAGGAATACACCAAAAGCCATACATTCTCTTTTTCAGTAAAATCTGCTAAAGATTAAAGTCCAGGTTTTAGGAACTACTAAGGTGTCTTTAAAAGTGAAAGCTATTATTTTTGACATGCTTTGTTGCTTGCTGAAATAAACTGCAACATTTTGCAGCCGTTAGCGTTACGCTTACATTTAATAGGGGTATGTGCATATAGTGTGTGAATAGTGTCCCTATATTGTATAACTTATAATAGTGAAAACCATAACTAAATCTAAGGCTTGAATATAATAGCTAAATGCTGAGTCTTAAACCTTATAACTAAGTCATAGGCCGTATAAACATGGGGCACATCTTGCCTCTAGAGATCCCCCCTAAACCTCTAGAGATCCCCCCCCCCTAAGGGCGATCGTGGCTCAAGACTTGGGAGTTCGCCTTGTAATTGGAAGGTTGCCGGTTCGAGCCCCGGCTTGGACAGTCTCGGTCGTTGTGTCCTTGGGCAAGACGCTTCACCCGTTGCCTACTGGTGGTGGTCAGAGGGCCCGGTGGCGCCAGTGTCCGGCAGCCTCGCCTCTGTCAGTGCGCCCCAGGGTGGCTGTGGCTACAATGTAGCTGCCATCACCTGTGTGTGTGAATGGGTGGATGACTGGATATGTAAAGCGCTTTGGGGTCCTTAGGGACTAGAAAAGCGCTATATAAATATAGGCCATTTAAACCTGCATTTTTCATTAATGGTGAGCAGGGGCCTGGTTGCAAAAGTACTTCTTGTTGTTCACCTTTTAAATATTGACCAAGATTTAGGGGTAAGGAAATCACAAATTGTTAGCCACTTTTCTGTGCTTGTTAGCAACCCTCTGCTTCTTTAGCATGTAATGGTAGTCTTGGACTCCTTCCCCAGTCTTTTCTGAAATAATTGAGGCCTTAGTCCATATGCTGCCTATGGTACATATCACATTTTCAGAATTTTGGTATGAAAATGTATTGTAAGTATCAATTCTGGTGACGTACCTATTGGCTACAACCACTTTTTATGCTTCCTGTGGCTGTTATGCAAATTCACGTCTTTAAAAACTTCACACCACATTCTTAAGTAATCTCTGCAGCTACATATGGCAAAATGCATACCTGAATTTACAACTAGCACTTCATTCACATAAAAGTACTGAGAAACTGAATAAAAAATTGTTTTGGCCCTACCATGTGTTTTTCCACTAAAATATATTTAATATTACCCTTATTGGGTTTGCTCAATTACAAAATCTATATTTGGAATCTGCAGGATCCATTGGACAGTTGAGAGAAGAAAAGGGGCTGTGTCTGCAGATAAGCCAATCTCTCCATTTCAGCAAGCCAGATGGATTTGAAGACGGGCAGCTGCTGATTAGCCTGGAGGATCTCCTTGTCCAGGAGAGTGGTCCTGCAGAACTGTGACTCATCTGCTGCTATGCACCGCTTAAGGACTACGGTTGTAAGGCTTTGGCCTTTAACGGCTGTACAAATGGCCCAGAGCCTATCAAAGCCTGTACCATTGGCAGTTAAACAGGGCTTAAGGACATCTCAGCCCGCAAGGCACCTGAACACACCTCTAGCTAGTGAACCCTTTCTTAATGGCACTAGCTCTAACTATGTGGAGGAGATGTACTACACATGGCTGGAGAATCCAAAGAGTGTACACAAGGTACAGATGAATTTAATTCTGTGTTTGATGTCGTTGTCATTTCTGCAATTATATATGTTTAAAATATGAAACTGCATGTAAAACCAACCAAGTGTCTTGGTCGGCAGAGATGACCTAATAATGAATACATAACAGTGAAAAATAACTCCACCTCCATCAGTTACAGACAGGTATTAGGTTGCCTGGCATGGGACCAAAGTATGATGGTGATTAACCCATAACTGAAAAGGTGACTATGACACAGTGTTTAAATTTGTATAAAGGAGCAGAAATTTATGATGAAATTTAAAAAGATAAACAGAAACAGATTTTGAAAATAAATTGGGATGTTGGTGGTGGCTGGAGGGGAGGTCGAAAAATGGAAAATAATAATAAATAAGTACATAAATAATGACCACTAAATACACATGTAAAGAAAGAAAGTTGACAATTTTACTAAAACTTGAAAATACAAAATTTTCACACATGATCGTCAAGACACAAAATTGTCCACACCTGTACTTCTTGACATGTTGCACAGTGACAATCCACTGAAGACACATTATTAGTGGAAATCCTGGAATTTAGGTGATGGAGCTGCCTGAATAGAGTGTAAAGGATACATGACACACTCAGTGTAAATGCAATAGACAACTACCTGCACTATTCTCACTTAGGCTATTCTCACTTAGACATCACACAGAGTGTGCACTATGACTCCAGTCTACATGATGAAATGCAAAAAACTGTAGTTCCTGGAGTGGCAACTTGAAGTTGCCTGCATAAATTAGTCAGTTCACATAGAATTCCATGGTTAAGTGGCCAGCCGAACAACATTAAAAATGTTTATTGTCCAGTCCAGAAAACAATTTTGGTGTCTATTGATAGTTTCCCCCGTTATAAAAACTGCACAGTCTGAGATTTTGTTTTATAACTCATCTTGTCAGTTGAAAGTCAAGTGTGATGTAGTTGTAGCCAATAGCTGGCTCCTAGGCCTTACTGCATCTGATTTGGTCCTGCAGTAAGGTACAGATTATCCAGAAGTTTGTGCTTCCATTGTGGTGAGTACAGTTGTAGTTACTTAACACTAATAAGCAGATATGTGTGGGTGGAGCCATAGTTTCTCAACTTGTTTGGCAGACATGGTACCGTACCCTTGCTTTCCTCTCTGACTCTCCTCCAAAATAAAAGTATAGCAGCAACCAAAATGCTTACATTGATAAATTAAAATGTGGATTCCCTTAGTCAGCCTGGGAAAATCACTGTACGCTATGCACTAGGTACATGGTGAAAAGCTCGTAATGTAATGACTCACACTAAATTGCAAGAAGTAGTCACTCTCCTGCCCTCACACGGATATTAACTTGAGGTACAATTCATTCTTAATCTCTACAGGAGTGTGAGTAAACTGCCTTCAAAAAGTTATGTGTTTTCATTTTACCTACACTGATTTTTGTAAATCTTGCCTCATTGCCAGTTATGGCAAATGCTCCAGATAACAGTGACTTGACTTGAGTCTTGCTTAGTAATCACTGTTTAACCTAACTACGTTGGTGACAGGCTATTAATTCATGTGACTAGTTAGCATATTGCTGAGTAAACTGTCTATTTCTTTCTCTATGCAGTCCTGGGATGTGTTTTTCCGTAATGCCAGTGCTGGGGCTCCGCCTGGTGCAGCCTATCAGGGCCCACCACACCTCAGTAGGACTTCAGAAAGACTGGTGGGGACTCAACCCAGTGTGGAGAAGCTGGTGGAGGATCATCTAGCCGTACACTCACTTATTCGAGCATACCAGGTTAACTGCAACCACACAGAAAATGTTTTGTCTCTCATTATTGTAGAGTTAGGGGTTTTTTTTTTCATTTTAGTTTCTGGAAGTGACACAGACTGTGTTACAAAATGCAAAGATAGTAAAACCCACTTCACATATATCATCAGTTCTCTGCTATAATCTGCAGTGAAATGATAAGGAAGCAAAATTAAAGTAAGCCTTTTCAGTTTATTCATAAAGGAAAAAACTAAAGATTAACAACTTTCAGTCTGGTGTTTTACTCTGACACGGTACACTAAAAGTAATTCTACTTTAGTTCCTTTTGCCATTAACTACTGCACAATATTTTCTTTAGTAGATTGTGGAAAGTGCGAGGCAGGTGTTCAATGCCATGGTCAATAATTAAGTTGCTGTTTATAAAACCTTACTCTAAAAAATTCAAGGTGAACGTGAAAACTGACCAAGAGCAGCTATCACCACCAAATGAGGAATAAATGGTATTTGATTTTTCAAAAGTTTAGATGACTGATTGTGGACATAATTTCAGCCTTACATCCCGAATTGGCAATGTTGTGACCTAAGATTCATCTGTAAATTGAATGCTTAGTTTCCATTATTAAGAACCCTCAAATAGTCCAAGACTACACCAATGCATTATGCATTATTGGACCATTGTTCATGTAAGTCTGAGTTGATAATGGGATATAAAGAGACAGTTTCTGCCTTTGGAAATTGTGTTAGAAACTCATCAGAATGGGGAGCTGTTGTGTTTTAAAATGACACAAATGTACGTACAGGACCTGTGTACGTTTGTGCCAATATTTTTAAAGGTGCTATTGGCATGATATTCTTACCAGATGTCAATAATAATCCATCCAGTCCACACATACAAATAAAAGAAACCATAGACCCATAAACTGTGTATTAGTGAGAAATGACACAAGGAAAAGTATTGAACTGAAATATATTTACTACTTGAAAATGTTCCCTCTAAGCCTGAAGGGAAAAAGAGGGAACAAACACATGTAAGGGAAGCTCTTAAAACATGTGGTTATCCTAAATGGGTTTTCATCAAGTCAGCAAAAATGCACAGAAAAGAAGACACCAACTAGGGAGGATCAGAAAGACAAACGCAACAATATTGTCATCCCCTATGTAGCAGGTTTATCAGAGAAACTCAGGAGAATCATCTCCAAGCACGACATCCCAGTGTACTTCAGACCCAGCCACACACTCAGACAAAAACGGGTTCATCCCAAAGACAAACTCCTAAACACAAGCTTTACAACATATTATATCATATAACCATTATAATTCCAATTTTCCCAGTGCACCAAAAACAGTAATGGACAGTTTCAGTATCAATAATCGATGCATTGAGCCATATTCCCTTCTGTGTAGGTAAGAGGGCATCACATAGCCAAGCTGGATCCCCTGGACATCAGTTGTGTAGACTTTGACGATGCCCCCTGTACTATTGGTTTCCAGAACGTCGGTGAGAACAATAATCCTGTTGCATGTTTATTCATTTTCTCTTTTTTCCGCTGGCTTTTCTTTTCCTGTTATTTTTATACTTTGATCCTTTTTGTCATGATATATTTGATACCTTTAATTGTCCCACTGCTCTTTTATCACTGATCCACTCCTTATGTACCTTCACCGACCCATTTACCCTTTCAGTTTTCTTTATAAATGTGACAACCCTGCTTTCTTATCTTTTAGCCTCCCTCCTCTTTTATTTACTATCACAGGCCCACGCTTTGTGTGTGTGTGTCTGTCAGAGAGAAAACATGAGTGTCAGTGCATGTGCATTTGCCATAAAACATACTTCTTTGATATTATAACTAACTATAACTAATAATAACTGTCTTGCAGCAAGTCACCCATGAAAGAAGGTGTGCTTGTTGGCTCCTGACAACCTTTGCTCAGTGGCCAATGAGGTCAAGCAGGACTTTTACAGGCTTATCTAAGTGTGCTTCAATAAAATGTTACTATGATTAGATTACAGGCAGAAACTACTTGATTATGTTACATCATCAAAGAAAACAAGGCTAGGTTTTTTGTGCGAGGTAGTTCAGAAAGGCAGAAAAGTCTAAAGATCTCCTATGTAACACGCTGACTGGGATGTATGGAATTAATAATCCCCCATGATAAGCAGAGTACTCTGTACTAATTTGCTGACAGAGATGCACAAAAAGACATAGATACAACAAGTTGCCCTGCCCCTTGTCTATCTAGTTTTGTCTTATCACGGTTTGGTGTGACGAGGACATTGCATGCTTAGATAAACACAAGCCACTCTGACGTCTTAGACCGTGTCTCTTCACTACATTGGCGCACCATTTGACCAGTAAACTTAACCTACCTTCAGCTTTAAGTACATTGCTTCTCATTATGTGTGGTTTCTGTGACTATAGATTGGAGCTTTAAAAAAGAAGGAGGGAAAAAAAGCATTAAAAAAATAACAGAGTTATGTATTTATGACAGGTTATCTGTTTCTTTCCAGGCAAGTTATTAGGAAATTACAGACCCATAAAACCAAGCTAAATGAAAAGTTAATATTACATAATGACCATGGTTCAGGAGTTTAAACCATGGATGCTGATATTAAGGGGTGATTTGCCTGACCTTGTTTGGCGAGTTAATTCAGAGCCTCGGGGTTTTGAGAAAGAAAGCTCTGTCATTTTGAGAATGTAATCAGCTGAGATTTGATGCTGCAGCTGCTGTAAAAGAGCTTTGGCCCCTGATGAATTAAAGGATAGAAAGAGAGATTTGAGATTTTAAGCTAAAATGTTCCTTAAAGGAAGACTTGACCAGTTTAATCCACAAAGATCAAACTGCTTTCGCTGCTTGTGAGATTATGTCAAGAGAACTGCATAATGGGAAATAATGGAATCATCTTGTGTTCAGGTCAGGTTGTAAGGACATATGATATGTCAGTCATTTTTAAATCAAATCAAATCCCTGTACAGCTCAATGCAAATATTATAGACAGGGGTTTAAGTTCATATGGATTCACACAGGGTAAAGATAAAAATCTTTGCAAAACTTACTTAAGCATTTTTCAGTCAAAGAAAAATTATTATAGCCACTTACTAAAAAAGATTGCAAACCATTGATGTTTCTTTGTGAATGAATTTAATTCATTTTGTTATAATAGTCAAAATGCCAGAGATAAAAAGCAATTTAAAGGCGTGAAAAGTGGCTTTACCCTGAACCTTTGAGTTAGGCAATTCAAAATGCTGTGTACTTTATAAGACATAAGATGTAAAGAAAACCCACATACATACAAAATTGATAGAACAAAGTGAAACAATTAAAAAATTACCCAAACTAATAAGATCACTAAAAGTTATGTGTAGCTGTTGTTCAACTAACAACTCTTCATGCAGAGTCTTCTACCTTAGTGTTTTAGCTTAGTCTTTTGAAGCCAAAAGTGTTACATTTGGGCCAGAGGGTGGAAGGCTTGGTTAGGAAGCTGCGTTTACAAACTGTACAGATGCGTCTTCTACATACACAGTTCCAAGTAACAGGCTAATAACAATTTCACTCACCTAAACTGGAATACTATATCTTGGATGGGCTGTATTGTTAAAATGTCAGAAACACTAACATGATACATACGTTTTCTGTCGACTGTACCATTGTTTGTCTGCCTCATTTTTCTATTCTAGAAGTTGCCATTTGGTTTTGTCCTATCAATTTCACAGCCTACATATATTGTGCGATGATGGGCTGAAAGAAAGATTTTTAATTTCATTGTTTACACTGCAGGCATTTATGGGCTGGCTGAAAGTGACTTAGATAAGGTGTTCCGGCTTCCCACTACCACCTTCATTGGTGGGAATGAAAGTGCTCTGCCTCTCAGAGAGATCATATACCGCCTTGAGGTAAGGATCATATATATAAATGCTTATTTTTTAAACACAGAATGTGATGATCCAACTTGTTTGATTTCCAATGTCTTTGTGGTATAGATACCCATATAGATGCTGATTTAGATACCCATATATCAGCAGATACACACAGCCAAGAAAAGTTGTAACAGGAACCTCTTTTTTATCCAAACTAATACAAACGTAACTTCTTTTTGTCTCTTAGAGAGCTTACTGTCAACACATCGGTGTAGAGTTTATGTTTATTAATGACATGGAACAGTGCCAATGGATCAGACAGAAGTTTGAGACTCCAGGAGTTATGCAGTGCACTCTGGAGGAGAAGAGGACCCTACTGGCCAGAATGATCCAGTCAACCAGGTGTGTCTGTGGTTCTTCACTTTCTTAGTACGCCTCAACAAATAACTAAAAGTTTAAAAGGCCTTTCTCAGTCTGATGGAAGTGTAAAGTTCCGAGCCACAGTGTGAAACACCACAACCAACTTTTTGCAGGTTTGAGGAATTTCTCCAAAGGAAGTGGTCTTCAGAGAAGCGCTTTGGCCTGGAAGGTTGTGAGTCGCTCATTCCAGCCCTGAAGACCATCATTGACAAGTCCAGTCAGAGTGGAGTGGAGAGTGTAATCATGGGAATGCCACACAGGTGCCATGGCTATGAATTTTACCTTTTGCATATCGATGACCAGCAAATTCAGTTCTAATTCAATTCAATTTTATTTATGTAGCAAAAAATCACAAAAACAGCTGCCTCAAGGCACTTTATATTGTAAGATAAAGACCCAACAGTAATAGAGATGAACTAGAGAAAACCCCAACAATCAGATGACCCTCTATGAGTAAACATGTTGGCAACAGTGATAGGGAAAAACTTCCTTTTAACAGGAAGAAATCTCTTCCTATTGCAGGGTAACTAAGGGAAGATCCAGCCCAAATTTTATGCTGTGTTAAAAAGGAAAGTTTTAAGCCTAAAAGTAGAGAGGGTGTCTGTCGCCCAAGTCCAAACTCTGAGCTTATTCCACAGAAGAGAGCCCTGAAAGCTCAAGGCTCTGCCTCCCATTCTACTTTTGAGTACCCAAGGAATCACAAATAAACCAGCAGTCTGAGAGCAAAGTGCTCTTTTAGGGTGATACAGTACTAAAGCAGAGATTTGCAAAGGTGTGCCAATATAAAACTCTGAGGCCTTTTTTGTTGGAGATGGTGTTAGAAGTATAGGAGGGGTAGAAGATGGGCAACAACAAAATTCCAGTGCAATACCTCTAAAATGCAGTAAGGTGGAAGTGTTGCAAGTTCCTCTTCTAAATTCTTGCAGGGTCTGGTTCTGAGTTCCTTGAGGGTTTGATTGATCTTGTTTTTTAGTGTGGGTAATCTAGACTCTTGGGGTGATCAGGACTGTGCAACACCAGGCAGAACACATTCCCTCTTAGGCAGAACGGAAAAAAAGTAAACACACACGTAAAGAAAGCTCTTAAATGCACAAGAAAGAAGGTCAGAAATCAACCAGGGAGAAACAGAATAACAAATGGAACAGCATTGTCATCCCTGCTGAAGCAGGTTTATCAGAGAAATTCAGATAATTTTTCCAAGCCTGGCATCCCAGTGCACTCCAGACCCAGTCACACCCTCAGATAAAAAGAAAAAGCTTGTTCATTCCATGGATAACGCTCCCCTACATACATAGGTCAGAGTGGTTTTACAAGTAAAATACCCAACAATGCAGTGGTGTAAAGCACACAACCTGTTCACTGAAGTGACGAATCAAGCTTTTCCATCTGGCAATCCAATGGATAAGCGTGGTTTTGTCAGTTGCCAAGAGAACAAAATTTGCCAGACTGCATTTCAAATCAAATCAAATCAAATCACTTTTATTGTCACATCACATGTGCAGGTACATTGGTACAGCACATGTGAGTGAAATTCTTGTGTTCGAGCTTCACAAGCATTGTTCCAAGTGTAAAGTTTCATGGAGGAAGGTTGTTTGGTTTTTTTGGGGGGGGTTTTTGGCGGGCTCGGCCACTTCCAGTAAATGGAAATCTTAATGCTTCAGCATACTAAGATATTTTGTACAATTTCATGCTTTGTGGGAATAGTTTGAAGGTGCCCCCTTCCTGCTTCAAAATGACTCCATACCACTGGGCAAAGTAAGTTCCATAAAGACATGGAGAGCCGGTTTGGTGCGGAAGAACTTTGGTGGGGACTGGCCTGCACAGAGTACTGACCTTAACTTAATAGAACACCTTTGGAATGAATGCAAACCAGGCCTTTTTGTGCACAGTCAGTGTCTGACCTTAAAAAATATAGTGTGACTGCAAAGGGTGGGTAGACATCATATTAAACCCTGTGGATTAAGGTCTGTGAAGGTTCTCAGTCATCCAGGTCATCGTAGTCAAAGGAGCTTGCAAAGAAAAGCGTCTGGACTTCTTTAAGTTGCTTGAAGACGTTTCACCTCTCATCCGAGAAGCTTCTTCAGTTCTAAGGTCAAATGGTGGAGTGTCCCAGATATAAACCTAGTGGGAGTTTCCCCCCACAGAGGGACAAAAGGACCCCCTGATGATCCTCTAATCGCCTGAGCCAAGGTGTGAAACTGGGTGTGGGTCCCAATCAGCCAGAGTTTCGGGTATGTTCATTGTGAAACCTGGCCCCACCTTATCATGCGAATTCCTGAGGTCAGATGGCCCAGGATGTGAGTGGGCATTAAGGCGTCTGGGAAGGGATCTCAAAACTGGATTATAGATGGCAGAGAGTTGGTGTCGTAAACCCCCGCCTCTGTTCAAAGATGGTCGCTCACAGTGGACATAGATGGCTTCTTTCACTCCTCTTTCAAACCATCTGTCCTCTCTGTCCAAAATGTGAACATTGGCATCCTCGAAAGAGTGTCCTTTATCCTTAAGATGCAGATGGACTGCTGAGTCTTGTCCTGTGGAGGTGGCTCTTCTGTGTTGTGCCATGCGCTTGTGAAGTGGCTGTTTGGTCTCTCCAATGTAGAGGTCTGGGCATTCCTCGCAGCACTGTACAGCATACACCACATTGTTAAGACTGTGTTTTGGCGTTTTGTCTTTCAGGTGAACCATCGGGCCATCTGACCTCAGGAATTCGCATGATAAGGTGGGGCCAGGTTTCACAATGAACTCACCCGAAACTCTGGCTGATTGGGACCCACACCCAGTTTCACACCTTGGCTCAGGCCATTAGAGGATCATCAGGGGGTCCTTTTGTCCCTCTGTGGGGGGTTACTCCCACTAGGTTTATATCTGGGACTGCCACCATTTGACCTTAGAACTGAAGAAGCTTCTCGGATGAGAGGTGAAACATCTTCAAGCAACTTAAAAGAAGTCCAGACGCTTTTCTTTGCAAGCTCCTTTGACCTGTGGATTAAGAATATGATTTCACTCAAGTTCATAAATTTGTGAAGGCAGACAAGCAAATACTTTTGGCAATGTTGTGTAACTCGACAGTTAGCAGCTTGCAGCTACCTACATCATAGTTCTTTCAGCAGGTGTTAAATGCAGAGTACAAGGATGTAGTGTACCATGTCCACATATTGAGAAAGAAAGCCCCCATGCACCAACACCAGAGCTGAACTAAAACTGTCTACAAGCTTCTGAAATTTTTTTCATCCTCAGCAGTTTACACAAATGATCCCCACTCTTACTGGTTGGTATTGTCTTTTGGTCATACTGGGCAAGTTCAAGTACAAAATGACCAGACTGACCACAAAAAAGACAGAGACAACTTGGTTCTCAGCTGCTATTCCTCAGGTGCTAGTATAGCCTGACTGAGCTGCATTGGCCCCTCAGAATGGCGAACAGAGGAGCTTTAAGTGCTGTGCTGGAAGTGGAAGGCAGGGAGAACCAAAGGGCAGAATCGGGACGGGAACTACAGCCAGAGGAAGGCTGAGACTTGTCGTTCCATTCCTTGTTTTGTTCATATAGGTGATTGTCTACACTAATAGTGAGAGCCACAAATTCATTTAAACTCTTCAGCTCATCACTGGTAGCCAATTCAAACCTGTTGCATCTCTGTTAGGAATGTGCAGAAATGTGTTACAAAGGTAGAATTACTGTATCTTTATTGAAGTGTTTTTATTCCTCTTATGTGTCTTCAGAGGCAGACTGAATGTGCTGGCAAATGTGATCCGGAAGGAGCTGGAGCAAATCTTTTGTCAGTTTGACTCTAAGTTAGAGGCTGCGGATGAGGTTTGAACATTATTTAGTTAGATTTAGTCAAGAGCAATGAAACAGATTTACACAAAAAATATAACTATGACAGTGCTTGTGTTAATGATAACAACTGATGTTTGGAAAATGTGTTTAGGCACATGAATAACTTTAAAAATGATTGACACTCTTTAGCTGAGAAAGCCTCTTTTTTCCAACCAGAAGGTATCAATAGTAACTATGATGGGGTCCAGTTAAAAGTGGGGTCCAAATTAGTAGTGCTCCCCATCTGTCACACAGAGACAACAAAGAGGTGGTACTAACTGTAAACCCAGGAGAGGTGAAAGATAGCTGTTATTAAGAAAATGTTATGTAATCAAAATCAAACAAAAGTGCAATCAAATCAAATCAAAACCTGAGAAAAAAACAAAGTAAGACACCCGTTCAGCTTTTCAGCAGTTCTCATTCACTGCAATTATGACTTACACAAGTACGTTGGTTAGGTTGGCTGTTAAGAACAAGCTAAAAAGCCAGTATGCCATGCAATTATTAAAATATGTGACCTGCCACATGTATTTAACTCTAGCATATTAATTCAACTGTAGACTGATGGCTGCAGAATGCAGAGGTATATCTAAAAGGGGAACATGCAGTGGCACAGCACCTTCCTAAAATATAAATTTATTACATTAAGTGCTATATTACTATGTTTTTATAGATCAATAAAAGTAGCAGATTATTATGTTGGGTTATTAAATTAATGTTAACATTAGCTCCACCTGCAATATTAAAAATGTGTAGGCCGTCTATTGAATAGCACATGTGCACATATGTTATTAATAAAAAATAAATAAAGATGAAAGGTTCAGCATCTGACTTTGTGCTCTCAGGGTTCTGGCGATGTGAAATATCACTTGGGGATGTATCACAGGAGGATGAACCGGGTCAGTGACAAGTACATGACATTGTCTCTCGTGGCAAACCCCTCCCACTTGGAGGCCGTTGATCCAGTGGTGCAGGGAAAGACCAAAGCTGAGCAGTTCTACTGTGGGGACACTGAGGGAAAGAGAGTATGTTGAATTTTTTTCTTTACCATATAAACAGAAGACAATGTCTCCGTGGATGTTTTCCAATATGTTTGCATTTTGGTGAATCATTTTGCAGGTGATGTCTATTCTCCTTCATGGCGATGCTGCATTTGCAGGTCAGGGTATAGTGTATGAGACATTCCACCTGTCTGACCTGCCATCCTACACCACACATGGTACAATACATGTGGTGGTCAACAACCAGGTATGGACTGTTCGATTCAGTTTGTTACGTTTAAAATTCTTTCAGCACTTATCAAGTTTATGGTATGGACAGGTATTTCAACAAATAGATCACTTAACCCTTGTATGGTGTTCGTATTTTTGTTACTCAGCCAGTGTTCATGGGTCTGGTGGACCCGCTAGAGTTTTGGCTTTCCAAATTAACACTATCAAACAATTTTATGTTAAATTACTCAACAGATGTTTACTTCATCCCCATTACAAGACATATGAACAGCAAACATGGTTAATTTTTTCCCTTTACCTTTGTTAGATCACATTTATGAATTAATGTGCTTCTCGTTTTTCTTTTATATAAAATGTTATAAATAAATCAGTTATAATCAAGTGGAGTGAGTGGAAAGACACAACACATTTACACGTGAAAAAATAATTAATTGTTTAATTTTTCTTTTGACAAAAACTGAACACGGGTCTCACAGACCCGAACACCATACAAGGGTTAATGGTTATAATAATAATAATAATAATGGTTTTGTAACTGAATTAGTTTTCCCCAGATAAAACTAGGCTTCTGGAGTATGGATTATTGAATATACACTAAAAGTACTTTTGAATTGACCATAATACTGTCTTGAAAGCATGACCTTTGGCCGCTCAGTTCGGCCGATCTGATAATAACAAAGTTTGATTTGTGAATTGCTGGAATTGCAGTTCCAGTAGTTAAAATGAGCACAGTGTCATAACTGTAACTGGTTTTAATATACATGTGTGTTACTCTTGCCCACATAGATTGGTTTTACGACAGATCCCAGGGTGGCTCGTTCATCTCCGTACCCAACCGATGTAGCTCGAGTGGTCAATGCACCCATCTTTCACGTTAATGCAGATAATCCAGAGGCTGTGATGTATGTGTGCAAAGTTGCAGCTGAATGGAGGAACACATTCCATAAAGATGTTGTTGTAGACCTGGTAAAAATGCTCGTTATTATAACTTTTTGTTAACCACCAAGTAAAATGACCCTGACTGAAACTGCTGTTATTTAAGAAAAAATACTTTGAAAATAGGAAACACTTTTACTAACTATAACCCGAAATAATGAAAGTAAACCTGTGAACAAAGCATAAAGTAGGAGTAAGCATGTTTCCAACATCTAAAAAGGGCATTAAGCCCCATCTGACCTTAGAAACTTTTACTGCACAGTAATGCCACTGATTTGCACATGTCTCAACTCTGTATATTTTTATATATTTTATTTATTGTTTACTCTATTTAATTTGTAAAATATGTGTACACACACACACACACGTAGAAAAATATTTAGTATACACATCCAGAAATGCATATACTATTATATATTGTACATATATTTATTAGTTTCAGATGTAGCCATTCTTGTATTCTGCACAACTCTGTTGCTTGTGAAGCTCGCACACAAGAATTTCACTCACATGTGCTGTACCAATGTACCTGCACATGTGATGTGACAATAAAAGTGATTTGATTTGATTTGATTTGAAACATGACGGTTTAATTCAATTCAGTCCAATTTTTGATTAATCCAATAAAGGATCATTTGTTAGAAGCAGTTTAGAAAAACACAGACACACACACACACAAATGAACTAAATCAAGGTAAAAACTTTAAAAGTGAGGAGTTTAGAATAATGGGTAGCAGTAGTTTACAATCAGGTGAAGCATGATGATACCCTAATGGCAACAAAAAATAGAATAGAATAGAATAGCCCTTTATTATCATTGTACATGTACAATGAAATTGTGGAGAATGAAATATTCATGCTCAGGGTGCGTTCAGAAAAGGCTAGAATACCTGTTGCTATCTCAAGGATTAGTTGGTTGCTAAAAGAAGCTACGTCTATTTGCTTCACTTATCTTCCAGTTATCTTACACTTTGACTCTATTATTTTTTCTTCTACTGGCTCATTTCACATCCACACAGTATTGTTAAAGTGTAAGATAACTGGAAGATAGTTATAGAGTCAAAAGACTAATTAAAATGATAGATGGTGGGATCAGCTGTGTCATTTAAATGGACTGTCACTTTACTGCACTGTGCCAACAAGTGTGCCAGTCAGTACTGACATACTAAATTTTCATACAGCATACAGGGTCAAATAGGTGATCAGAAAAACAAACATAAACATTTGCCTCTTCACTCAGGTGTGTTACAGACGGAACGGACATAATGAGATAGATGAGCCCATGTTCACACAGCCGCTGATGTACAAGCGCATCAAGAAGCAGAAAGGAGTCCTGCAGAAATTTGTTGAAAAACTCATTGATGAAGGAGTCGTCACAACTCAAGAATATGAGGTAAAGCTACCTGCACACCTGTGCTGTAGATGGTTATGAAGCATGCAAATTGTAGACAAAGACACAATATAACTTCTTCTGACCTCCAAGTGGATTTGATTTTTGGCTGCAGTTTTAAACTCTATCACACATTTAGCTTGAGCTTACTCAGTCCGAAGATGATGATCATTGTCAGGATTTTATACCGAATGAAAAAGCTCAGCTAATTCTTTGAGACTGATCAAGTAACACACAGATTTCTCATGTGGACAGCTGTCACTGACAGTCAACTCCAGTCTATATGACGTAATGGACCTTCTCAGCAGGTTGAGTGTTAAAGTGTGAATTTTAGAGAGCCATTCAAGAGAGCTAACCTCAAGTTTTCTGAAAATTTTGTGAATGCTAAAACTCGAGAAGGAAGTCACTTAGGATTTTGTAATTACCATAGGTGTGTCTACTAGGAGGCTGCCACCAGTATTTTACTTATACTGTTGCTATCAGTTACTAGATTAAAAATCACAATGAAGATAAAAAGAAAGACTAAATTTTCTCATTAGATGCCCAACTTGCATTGATCTCTTGCAGGAGGAAGTAGCCAGTTATGACAAAATCTGTGAGGAAGCTTATACTCGCTCCAAAGATGAAAAGATCCTACACATCAAGCACTGGCTAGATTCACCCTGGCCCGGTATGACTACATGTTGTTAATGAAGCTAAACCATTTCTGTGTGTTGTTTTTTTTAACTCCCTATTTTGTCAAGAAATTAACATCAAACACAATAAATTAAGACAGAATACAATGAATACAACTGAATACACAGAATATTTTTGAATCTTGGGCAAGAAGGGCATCCCATGCATGCCTCTTGCTTTTAATGCTTTTGTGTGTCTGTGTATTTAGGCTTTTTCACACTGGAGGGTCAGCCTAGAAGTATGACCTGTCCTTCGACTGGCATCAGCGAGCAAGCGCTCAGCCACATTGGCAACATTGCTGCATCTGTCCCAGTGCAGGATTTTGCTATACATGGAGGTGCCCTCACGTCTCGTGTGACAAAAATGAAGATCCACTTAATGTACTTTCAAGCCGTTTTAGACCTGGATTTTCTGCATTGGTGTTCATGTTGTAGGCTTGAGTCGTATCCTAAAGGGACGTGCAAATATGGTGAGCCAGCGACTGTGTGACTGGGCTCTAGGGGAGTATATGGCCTTTGGCTCTCTGCTCAAGGAGGGAATCCATGTGCGTCTCAGTGGTCAGGATGTGGAGAGGGGCACGTTCAGGTAAGAAATAGATGTACTATCTATGTACATGTTTATGTAGCCAACTTCCTAAGAATAAAATATCAAGAGGTGATTGCATCTAAATCTCTTTGACCTGTGCTTGTATTAATTTCTTCACATGCATCTTATCTCTGAATTTTAAAAAAAAAGGACAAACTCAGTCATACCACTCATTTTTTCTGGTTATATTTCACAGCCATCGACACCATGTTCTTCATGACCAAAATACTGACAAAAGGATGTGCATCCCAATGAATTATATCTCCCCTGATCAAGCTCCTTACACTGTGTGTAACAGCTCTCTATCTGAATATGCAGTGCTGGGTAGGTAACATAAACACAATAAAGTACCAAAATCTGGTGCGTTTTGCATGATTCTTTGCCTACCTCTCTGTCTCCCACAGTACCTGAAGTACACTATTTCACAGTTGAAATGTCACTTTTCAATTTGCTGGCATGTTTCAACATCAAGGCTTCTGTTTCATTCTTCTCTCCCATGTGCAGGTTTTGAATTAGGCTTTGCTATGGCCAGTCCCAATGCACTGGTTCTATGGGAGGCCCAGTTTGGAGACTTTCACAATACAGCCCAGTGCATCATCGATCAGTTTATCAGCTCGGGACAGGCCAAGTGGGTCAGACAGAATGGCATAGTGTTGTTGCTTCCTCATGGCATGGAGGGAATGGTAAGAATTTAATCTACCACATTCCACATGTATCTCAATTTGATTTGTCTCACCATCAGAGTTTGGGATTGTATTACCACCTTATAATGCAACGCCTGCCTTGTATTGATGTCTTCTTGATTTTACGAATTGTTATATTTTTAATACCATTCTATGGGCTTGCACTGTCAGAGCACAAATCACTTATGTCTCTGTGTGAAACTGTGGGGTACTGTGTTGTACTGGAACAAAATGTTTATTCTGTCCATGGTAGTAAAATTATTTTGATGCAAATGAAAGGACATATATGGATACATAGTGCCTTATGTGTTACTAATAAACTTGAGATCTGCAATATCACATATAAACAAACCTTAAATACACTACAGAAAAGAAAACTGCATCACATTTGTATTGCTTCCATTTCGTTTTCATCACAGGGTCCAGAGCACTCATCTGCACGCCCTGAAAGATTTCTACAGATGTGCAATGATGACCCAGATGTATTCCCTGTGAGTTTGTGTCAGAATGTCATTAAGGAATCATAGTCTGTCAAGTAAATGATTTTCAAGTCTGAAAAGAGAAGGAATTTCAGAAGTTAAATCAGCATTCATTTTAATGGCCAGCAGGGGGAACTCTACAGCCAAAAACAATCTGTCTATCTAGGGAATCTATGACCTAAGTAAACATACAACATTATGTTCATTTTGTGCATTTTGAGCATGCTTTAGTGTAAGCCTGTGTAATGGTTGATATGTTTCTCAGTTATATCAGTCCTTAATCAGCCCATCTGGTTTTAAAAAACTTAGTTCAGCTAGAGGCTTCAACAGCAAAAACAATGGGTGGCATCACAGTAACTACGTATGTTAAGGACAGAGTGGAACATGCAGTGCAGGTTGGATTTGTATTTTGCCACAATCAAAAATATCTTTCTGTTTTTCTTTGGACTCATTAGTAATTTTCCGTCCTCTTCTGTCTTTGTCAGAGTCATATTTTTTATTTGATTAATTTACCTTAGTACCTAAACAAATTAAATAATTGGTACAAATAATTCTATTCTTTTGAATTTTTGAATTAAATAATTGTATTGTGTGCATTTTGTCATCAGGTTGACTATACTTTTCTTATCTTTTTTAATCTTCCACGTAAAATTTTGTATGTTGTATTGTAATTTCTGTTTGTTTTTTTTACGTCATTGTATGTTGGCAGGAACTGTCTGAAGACTTTGCCATGCATCAGCTTTATGACTGTAACTGGATTGTTGTGAACTGCTCTACTCCTGCAAACTACTTCCACGTTCTCCGCAGACAGATCCTGCTGCCTTTCAGGAAGCCCGTAAGAGATATATACCAAAACATGCAAGATAAGAGTCAATTGAAATTATGAACATGTTCTATGCTCTGTCTTTAATCGCAGCTCATAGTACTAACTCCAAAGTCGCTGTTGCGCCACCCTGAGGTTAAGTCCAGCTTTGATGATATGCTTCCAGGTGAGTACAGATCAAAAAAGGGCAAAAGAACTTTTAAAATATTTGGTTATTTTCTGTTTTTATGATTTCTGTCATGCAGGCACACATTTCAGGCGTCTAATCCCAGATAATGGGCATGCAGCCACCAACCCTGAGAAGGTGAAGAGACTAATTTTCTGCACCGGCAAGATTTACTATGAACTGACCCGGGAACGCAAGAACAGAGGCATGGACGAAGCTATTGCTGTTGTACGCATCGAGCAGGTAATCAGTGTTTTGGTAAAACTGTTGTGTAAGTCTGTAAAAAGCTGAAACTGAATCTGAGACTATGGAGTGACTCGTTTAGTCTAATGTCAAGGCAATTTCACACTTCACATACTTCACTGCCGTACAGGTAAAACAATGGTGGCATGGCCTTATAGTGTGCAGTATTTGTCTGCCTTAAGTCAATCACAGCACCTTGTTAGGCAACACCGCACAGACTTCCACACCAAAAGTAGCAGAAACTTGAGTGTTCATTCCAACCACATTGTGGCATCTTTCTTTTTTTGGCAGCTGTCACCATTCCCCTTTGATCTGGTGAAAGAAGAGGCTGATCACTATCCAAATGCAGATTTGGTTTGGTGTCAAGAAGAGCACAAAAACCACGGCTACTATGACTATGTCAAGCCCCGCATCAGCACCACCATCGGTCACACACGCCCCATCTGGTAAGTTTGACTTTAGCTGACTGTACACCTGAAGACAGGGCAGTATACCAGTCCATTTACCAATATGTTCACTATTGTTCGTCTCCACATGTCTAAACCACCATGCTTGTCTCACTAACTATGTCTTTAAACCCTCAATCTAAACTGTCCCTCTGATATATCTAATCGAGTCCATTCTGGTCTTTTTGGTTGTCCCAAACCATACATCATAACAGGTCTTACTAGTCTTGTAAAACTTCCCTTTCATTTGTGCTGCCATTCTTCTGTCACATATCATACCTGATTTATCGTCCCTCTGATATAATCATTTCTAATCCTGTTCAACTCTGCCTTTTGTTTTTGTTTTTTTAGTGCCACCCAACTATAAAACTTAGCAGGTCTGTCTGCCATCTATTAAACATTTCCTTTCATTCTTACTGCTATCCTTCTGTCATACATCACCCCTGACACTTGCCTCCACTCACTGCACCCCACGTGCACTCCTATCTTCACCAGTCTTGCTTTGGATGGTTTACCCCAGATATTTAAACTCATCCACCTTCACTGTTACACTTGTGTCTTTCTAATTCACACACATGTATTCTTCATGTACCTTCTTCTCCCCAGTGCATACCTCTGCAGACCCTCGTTTCCCTGATACCTACTTTCACTACAGGCTATAATGTCAAACATCATAGTAGACACAGCCTGACCTCATCTGTCAACCTGTCCAAGACCAATACAAAAAGGAAGGTGCTCAGCGCCAATCACTGATGTAATCTCAGTCCCACCATGAACCCATCTGCATCTTCTACCACACACCTCACCACTGTCTTGCATGTCCTGCACTTGCCTCACATATTTCTCTGCTATTCCTGACTTTGTAGTACAGTATCACATTTCCTCTTGGCACTTATATGCTTTATCTAGTGCTACAAAGACACCGTGCAACTCCTTCTGACCTTCACTCTTTTGTAGCACACTGCTGCTCACTGATAGTCACCTGTCTTTGTCTTCATGGTCATCAGTTTTTATTTATTTGCACATTTATCGAATGCTTTAAAAAAAAAACATTCACACACACTATCATTATACTTGGGCACATGGACAGGAGGATCCAGGGTTTGATCCCCTGACATTTTGACTGGTAAATGGATCACCCTACCACCTAAGCTACAGCCATCCTGCAGGACACATTGAATTGCATCATGAGCAGTGATATTATAGTAAACAGGAGTGAGAACTCATATATCATTTAGAGGCCATGTCAGTACACAAACACACAGCAGACGTTTAATGTTGTGACTTTTAAATGTTGAATAAACTCACAGCCTCATTCCACTGTTCTTCACTCATATTTTGTGTTTAATTTACTCCCAAAAAGAGGAAAAGGCACCTGTAAACAAAAAAGGAAAAACCTGTAAACCAGGTTAAAGGTGATTGTTATTGGCAGTATTGTTCTTTTTTTTTTTAATGTGTGTGTGTGTGTGTGTGTGTGTGTGTGTGTGTGTGTGTGTGTGTGTGTGTGTGTGTAGCTATGCTGGTCGCGAGGCTGCAGCAGCTCCAGCCACTGGAAACAAGCACACTCACAAGATGGAGCTGCAATATTTGCTGGACACAGCACTGAACTGAATCTACATTGATACTAAGGGCTGATGATCTCCCACCACTCTGGGATATAGCCTATCTGCAGAGCTTCAGAGAATCCAGACCGGCTTCACCATTTTCCAGAAATTTTACGTCATTGTGTTTTTACTTCAGTATTTTTACAGATTAGAATTGTAAACAGGTGTAATCTCAAAACACACAATGACTTTTAACACTATTACAATCTCATGTTTACAGTGAAGGACTAGAGAAAACTCTGATGATATGCCTGTAATCCATCTGTGAATTTAGACAAATTACAGTTTTAAGACTGTAATATTTTATTTTTCTTATATTCAGTCAGATAATTAATCCAGATCAAATCTTCAAATAATATTATTGATGTGTGGTATACTGTTTTGGGTCAAACAATCAGAAACTTTCCCCAAAAGTTAATTCTGTTCATCTGGACCTAGTGTTTTCAGTGGGAGATACATTTCCTTCAGTGGTGCTAGTTTCAGTCATTGTGCAAATGTACTGTTTATAAAATTGGGGAAACCTGCAGTCAGCTGAGACTGAAGAAGTCACTTGGATGAGTGACGAAACGTTTCTCCCACCAAAAACGCTTCGTCCAGATGAACAGAATCAACCTTTGGAGAATTACAAAATCAGAAACATTAATGATGTTCATATTTTAAGGAAGAAAACGAGGATAGTTCTTTTCTGGCATTTTAGCACACTTTGCTCCAGAGTGGCTCCAACAGATTTCAGAAACAACATCACAGGTCTGTGGTCCAGAAAAGTGCAGTCCTAAGTATAAAGAACTAACTTGTATTTTTATTATTATTATACATATTCTGTTTTCATTGATCTTGGCAAATAAAGCTTTTTGAATAGTCCTGCTTTTGCTCTTCAATATTTCACAAATATATAATTTACAATTTTGCACTTTTTCTTTTATACATGTAATCAAGAAGCTGCAGAGAAGTCAGTCACCATTGTAACCAAAGATCTTCTAAATACTCAAGATCTCCCAATCATGCTCACGAGAAAGCCCCGAATAGAATTTGTAGATTAACCTCATTTTTCTTTTGGACATTTTCTTTATACTTTCACTTCTTTCTAAAGAGTAGAGATAAGAATTCACAATGAGTCACTTTAGAATGCAAGGAGCTGCCTCTTGATCACCGTCATCTTCACCCACCACAACCAGCATACATGGCATACAAGATGGCTCAGGTGCAATTGTAGTCCTGCAGCAACATTAATATGATGTTGCAGGATCAACACAGTCCTATCACATACACCACATGGACAAACAGAGGCAAAAGAATGTAGTGGACATGGAATGGAGTACTCTGAAAAATATATCCCAGTCTTATCGTGCAAATAGTGTTTTATTAAGGTAACTATCCATGTGTATTTTGTGTATTTCTTAACAAATGTATGCAGCATCTCAAATACTGAAAGTTTCTTTCAGTCTAGTATTAAATAAAATTCCACACAAACTGGCAATAAATTGTCATATAAGTAATTTAATGAGATTGCAGAATTACAAGAAATTTCAAGAATTATGTCTTCAGAATGTTTTCTGACCACAACTGGTGTATGGCAATGACCTCAAACCTCAGACCTCAAATGTAAATTTTAGCATAAAGCAGATTAGACCACTGTGCTAACTCTCAAAGCACACACCCAAATTATGCTATTTGGATGTTTATTTTGTTCCTGGCTGCTACTGTATAGTTAATTATCATGTAAACAAAGCACTTCAAAATAATTGTCTTCTCAAAATGATTAAGTAGCTCAGTATTTTCTTCTGTTATAAAAACTACCCTCCAAGATTTTAGTGCAAATGTGGATATAGATTCTTTACAGATGACTCTTGGAGTTTCTGTTTTTTTCGATGAAGTCAAACAGATCCACATGTGAATCACAGTGCTTGGCAGAGCTAAAGTCACGCAGAAGTTTGTACAGTGTCCCTGTCAAAAAGGAATAAAAAGGTATATTAGAAAAATTAAAGAAACACCACTTTTTACAGCCAAATTCTGAAAAGTTATATCTTTAAAAATTGGCATTCAGCTCTAAATAATTAAAGAACACAACATAGTTTCATTCTGATTATAGGGGTGTGGTTCTGGGAGAGGTAGAACAGAGGGCTCTAGGGACATGGGCATTATTAGAAGAAGCTGGTTTTCTTGGTGTTATTGACTAAGTTTACTTTACCTAGCAACCAAATGTAACAGGTCAGTAAAGCCAACATGTGGCAGGCGTGTGGCCTCTGGCTCTGCTGCAATGGGAGGGGGGGGGGGTTGTTACGGTAAGCTCACAGGGTGGTGCCGGGAGGTCGGAGGGCACAGGTGACCCCTTTTAGTGTCTGGAGTCAGGAAGGAGCGGTGTGTGGTGTGGGAAGTAGCTAGAAAGCTGCTGTGACCAACAATCGAAAACTGTATGGGTCCTAATCACTTCACCTGACAGTAACAAAATACTATGTGCTTACTGTCAATGCAGAAAGTGAAGGCATTAAGGCAAGCATTCAGACACAAGTGTGATCATCCTTTGAACTTTACGAAGAAAAATTGAATCCTTCAAATAAAAATCACTGTCCAGGCTGTTAAAGGCATTCAAGAAGTAAGTAAAGGTCTCCATTTCGATTATATTAAAGGCCAGTGTCTGCAGGTTTTTAGAAATACCGCTTTCAGTCAGACACCAGCTAACCCTTTAAAGAAATTATTAGGTGTTCAGTAAATTAGCTGGAAAATATACAAGCTTTAAAGTGATGCGATGTTAGAAACTGGAGAAAAGAAAACTGCATGTCTTGGGAACACTCACCTACTGTAATCCCTTCTGCGAACATCAACTCATATATGCGCTGTAGGTGTTGCTTCAGATTTTCATCCCCAAAGGTGAAGAAAGCCAAACCCCTCTTAGCCTTTGCTGCTGCCATCAGCTGGATCAGAGCTGCACATGAACAGATAAGAACTTACATACATTTATTTCATGTTGCACTGTGACAGACTTTCCTAGATCCTAACCCTTCAACTGTTGTGATTCAGTGCTATATAAATTAAACTGAAGTGAACTGAATTGTCCTGTTTTCTGTCTCGACCAATAAGACATGATTACTCTGTTTGCTAAATATATCCTCTTAATCTGTGTTAATATTCTGTGTATGGTAAGTGTATTTCTGCCTGACAACAGGGTAATAAAGATGTGGTGAGACCCTGTATAAATAGATTTCCTCTGGTTCTGTGAATTCCTCATTACACTGCTGTATGGACTAAATTCCTTCTTGTAAGAATAAAACTTTACAGCAGCTGACTTTGCACTAAACTAATGAATATAAAGAAGTTCACCTTTGAGTTGTGGGTCTCCATTAAAGGCGCCACAGCCCCATTTTCCCGTAGCGATATCTGGGTTTTCATGCCCATCGTACCCTTTAAATCCACAGTAAGCCTTCAAAGATACATGAGATTAATTCATTTTAGATGGCAGTCATACATTATAAGCATGGGTTTACTTTTAAGTAGCATTATAAGCTTTACTATAACTTTTAAACAAGCAATATAAATATGTCACAGATGAAAAGTAAAATACAAGTATGCAAATATTAAATAATTAAATTTGTATGTATACATGCCCAGTCAGAGGGTTTGGACAAACCCACTCATTTATTTATTTTTTTAATTTGTTTTTTTTTGTTGTTTTGTTTTATAATCATGAGATTAGGTTTTCAGTTCTTTGTAGAATTGCATTCATGTCTCATTTCCTGTGTACAATACAGCATGGTTACACACAAAAAGTTGTGTGTAACACAAAAGTTTTGTTAAGGCACAGTTATTCACTTATTCACATAGTTTTTCCCAATTGCTGTTACAGCCCTGGCCTGGGGAGCTGATTTGGACTAAGCACACAATCTTGCCACCATGCACACTGCAGCAACTCTGTTTTGTTGTGAAATTTCCTCACAAGTTGAATTCTGCTCACATGCTCTTCTAACTAATATCCAACCTGTGGGACATAGGCACTGGTAACATTTAACATTGACGTTTTTATTTCTAGCTTTAAACTCATGATGCTCGTCACCTACACAACACTATTCACATTAAAGCGCTCATAAAAGACACTTAAAGCAAGACACGTGCTTCAATACCTAGGAGGAAGGGCATCTGGTGTAAAAAAAAAAGATCTGCCAAATCAGTTGAAATAGCTTTCAGCTAGTTAAAAGGTTGAAGATGAAGTTGAAAATTATTTACTTCAGAGAATTAGTTCATTAAAATTACCCCCCCTAGAAACTACCACCCAGCAATTTGTAGGAGATTGCCTGAATCAGACTTTCATAGTGGAACTACCACAAATCAGGGACGCCTATAAGAAGAGAACTGCTCGGACCAAGACAAAAATTTAGACATTTAGCTATTTATTTAACCCTGGACTTTGGTTTGGTGTGTCCAAACGTGAGACTTTTGTGTCCATCCACCAAGAGATGTAATGGTGATGGATCTCTTGTGTCTAACAGGAGCACAGTGATGGAGTTCTGTAAAATAGGATCTGGGCATCACTATCTGCCAGTCGTAACTCAGCTGAAATGGTTTGAGATTATCCAATCCTACATTGGGTAGTAAACAGTGTAGCATATGCTTCCACGTGTGTGTAAATGGAATACACAACTCAAGATGAGACTTTTCCTTCGTGCTTCTTTATTTTCTGCCAACAAAGAACAACCAAAGGAACAATAAATAACACATAATAAACTTCACCTTGTTCAGTTCTCGGGTAATATGTCTCATTCTGTACTGATCCACGCTGTGTCTGAAGTTCATAGCATCAATGGCCAGGATCTTTGTCTTACGCCGAGCCCATTCATCCCTAAAAATTGGATCAAAATGCATCAGAAAACTCAATAAAAAGTTCTAAAAAAAAAAAAAAAGTTCTAAAGGCAAATAATGACCTTTCAGACTGATCTTCATAAGGACCTGCCCACTCAAAGGAGTCTCCAAAACCTAAATAGGAGCTGAACTGCTGTGAGCCTGAGAAACAGACAACAAAAGTTGTACATTAATACAAATATTGATGCACATTCATTTTTAGTAAATAGATTTATCATGAATTTCTGTACTATATTCATTTTCCCCATTTTTAATTTCCTAGAGCTATTTATCTTAGCATTATCTTTGTATTCGAGTGGAGGCACTTCAGTGTGTTTTTTATGTGTAATATCTTTACGTATGTTGGTAAACAGACTTCAGTGAACAGGGTTTACAAGTTGTTATATTTAAAATTGAAAAACTACTTGTTTTCAACTATCTTTATAACTCTGTGTTATTATACTTACATTATAACCAATCCGGTCCTTTTTGTCCACTTAAAATATGTTTACAGAACTATCGTTATATTTGTTGCAATTTCCACTGTCCTCTTGATTACTCTTAAAAAAAACATTTTAATGTCAGCGAGATTTTTTTTAACTGGATAAGTAAAACATCTATAAAAGTCACTGCCAAAAACTGATTGCGGCTTCTACCTTGTCACAGGAATGTTGTTTGTGGCTCAAGATGATTTGATATCATTTATGAGGCATACATTTGATATATGTTTCACATATTATACACCAGCAAGTTATTTATAGCGTTTTAAATCAGTTTTTGGCAAATACCGAAAAGAAGTTATTGGCAGACAGTCACTTTTTGGACACAACACCAGCATCTCACAGATTCTGAAGCTGCAGGTTTTGTCACTTAGACCAAAATTGACTGAAACAGCAGAAGAAAATCAAAACTACACTTCACTTCCACCACAGCTTCATTATTCACTTGCTTATTACGCACCAGTCTACCGCTGTGTACAGTGCTGCTGGTTTTTGTTGTTGTTGGGGTTTGTTTTTTTTTCCAAAATTGACCTCCGACAAGAAAACATTTTTGATCTTCTACAGAATATTTTTTAAGTTATAAAAAGCCAGGCCAGGAAAATTTCCTTCATGTTTTTCTGTGTTTTATCCTCAGTTACTTTGACACAACAAGCTGTGATGCTTATACCTTTGAAGTCTCATAATTGTAGCTGAAGAAGTAGAGCAGGTCATCTGCTGATTGGAAAGTTTGTGGTTCAATCCCTGGCTCCCCCAGTCTGCATGCCAAATATCCTTGGGTAAGATACTAACCCCAATGCTCCAATGCATCCATCAGAGTATGAATGTGTGCTGGTGTGAACGAGTGAATGTAGCATGTTGTATAAAGTACTTTGCGTGCTATAGGAATCAGTCCTTTCCATGTATCTAACCAATATCTCATTTAAAAACATGAGAACTTACAGGTAAGCTTTAAATTTCTAGTTTATCAAATACCACTGAGCAGAACTTTAATTTAAATATGACCTCTCTTCCTCCTCTCCTGTCCTGTCTTTCTCAACTTTCTCCATCTCTGAATGAGAGAAAAGGTATCTAATATCCAAAGAAAAACTTTCAAACACGTTCACGAATCCTGGAGAAATGCTGTTACTAAGACTAATTGGAACAAGATAGAAAGAAATGAGGGATGGCTCGAGACTCTTGCACAGTATTTTGATTGTTGATTAATCTGTCATCTTGCCTCCCAACACAGAGCTATGCTGCAATGCTATGATTTATTTGGTAACATGGTCCTAACTGAATTAGATTCTTTTTGTTGTTTTTTGATGATTATTTTAATTTCAAAATTGAAATATAACATATAATTGTTAATTTTATTTTCTTTATCCATCCTTACTTTTTTTTGTCTTAAATTCATGTTATAGTTGATTTTTTTTTTAAATAACCATTTATGTTTTCTGACATATGAGTGTGTCATTCACTTATTAAAATAGCTATGAATTTAAAAAAGAAATCTTTATAGTAGAAAAGATGGAACCAGTTGTTATTTGATATTTTGGCTTCAAAAATTAACTTAATTAATCATTTTAATCATTCAGGCAATTTTTGTATGAAATCAGCCTAATTTTTGTGAGATGATTAATCCATTTATGAACAAACCTGTAATGATCAGACACTCATTGTCTTCAAGTTTCTCTGTGAAGAGGCGAGCTACAATCAGTTCTGGATTTATAACGAACAGGATCTCCTCCTGCAACAGACCAGAGCCCAGCACACCTCCACCTATCAAGCTGTTAGCGAAGTCTACCTGCACATAGACATACATAGACACACAAATAACCAAATCCCAAACAAAAAATATGAAACTGTAAATCATTATTCATGTGGGACAGTTCTTACCTGAAGCATGCCTTTACCTTCAAGCTCAATCTGACCTTCTGAGGTTATATGAAGTTTAGACAGATTCGCCTTACAGCTATCACATGAACAACAACATGATTTAGAGAAAATCAAGGTAGTAAATCAAGGTGGTAACACAGCTGCTGCTTTACCACAGCAGATCTATCAATCTATCAGTTATTACCTTTCCCATGTGGGCATGTCCGTGTAGCTGAGGCACTCCCTCTCAAATGTCACCAGTCCTTTAGGTTGGGTACCTGCAATGACATTGCTAAACACCAATGGACTCTTACTGAGATGTCTCACAAACGGGCAGAATGGGAGGATTCAACTTACTTTCATCTGTAACTTCTTTAAAATAATGCATGATGGCCCTCAACTTTTCTCCCTTCCTCCGTGACCAGTTTCCAAATAGACTGTGTGGAGAATGATTATTAACAATTAACATACATTAGGCACACAAAATGAGAGACTACAGTGAAGGGATTTTTTTTTCAACCTGTTGAAGTTGATGCTGGGGTAACCAGAGTACTCTGCGTTGGGACTGGAGGTGTTACGGTGAGGGAAGGTGCAAAAAAAAGCATTGGCAAGTAGGCAGGATATCTGAACCTGAGACAATGTGATGGCTGCACTCTGTCCCTTTCGTAGAAGCGGGATAGCCTGAGAACATGGAAACGCATTTTGTCAGTCAGATTATTTATTTTCAGGAGAACTTAATTTTAGTTTTCTCATCGAAAACTATTCGTTTTAGAATACAAATGTCCCTAATAATTAATAATTGTTTCAAGTTAATTGGCATTAATTTGTCCAAAGGTGTCATGGTACTGAGTTAATTATATGAAGTGCTCTGCAGACCCACATATACATAACAGCTTAGTGTAACATTATAACGTTAACAACTAGCACCAACCAGGAATGCTGTCTACTTTTGTTCATATTTATGTTCATTTTGATCATCATGCATACAACAAAAAGGCATTAAAAGTAAACTTTTTTAAACCTTTTCACAGTAAGCTTTGCTGTTCTTCCCTGTTGTTTTAGACAATCAGCAGTCTACCTACTTACAGTATAGGATGAAAAGGTTCCTATTTTTACTGGAACCTTTTTGCCTTGAGGTGGCTGCTATTGTGATTTGGCACTATGTAAATAAAACTGAATTGAACTGTTATTTTGCAGAACTGCGCACAAATGTGTCTGTACTCTCTGTGTTATCCCATAGTCCCTATATTAAGAGACTTTACACCCAGAGACTTCGCAAACCAGTGGACTACAGCCTACTTTTATATGTACTTTTGGAGTTGAAAAAATAAATACCTTTCAGATACTGAAAACATAAATGTGTCGGCTTTAGGTCTAGATAATCATCCTGATCACAATCTAATTAAAGTCACCAAGGCATTCTTAATAGGTTATGTATCAGTGCCGCACGATTAGATATATTTTAATATCAGTCGCAATTTTGGCTTCCTACAACAGAGGAATATGATTGAATGATACTGTAAATTTCTGAGGGGCCAGTGGAATACAAACCAAAAGCAAATCAAACACTGACCACACGCCTGCATGTTCTAATCACACACATGACAATCACAGTTGACTTTAGTTTGCTTCTCGGAGATTTACTTTAAATGAGCACCTTACTGATCTTCAAATGAATGAACTTAAATGTAAAGGTGAAAGTAATGTCCTAATGACTTTGTGTTAAGATTTTGCACATTTTAAAATTTTATGTATTCTTTGAATTTTTCTCCAAAAGAGGGACTGAATTCAGGTGAACAAGGAGGAGCATTTTTATTTTAATCCAATAATTTGTACATTTGCAGGAATGCAGCAAAGCATTAATGTTGCATTGTTTAAATGACAGCACACCAAAAAGATTTTTGTCAATAAAATCAATGAATAATGATGATAACTTGAAGACTAGATGTAAGTGCAGGAGGCACAAAACAAGAGATGTTTATAGATAGATGCTTTTTAACCGCTTCCACCAACACCAGGTGCTTATTTCTTCATTCCTTTTCAGCATATTGTCATTCATGTAGTCTGAGAAGAAACTAGGGTCCTGCACCGTTTGCGCCCTAAAAAATATATTCGATTTCTGTTTAATTTAAAGAACTTTCCTTTTAGTGACATTTCAAGATAGTGACTCAGTATTTGGGGCTACTTCAAAGAGACTTGGAACATTTTCAACTGTTCAAGTTTCAATTTTACAATTTTTGGCAATTCATTGCTTATATAAAAATGCTATTCTCTTGATTTTAAGTTATAAGTTTTTTGGAGGGTTTTGTATTTCTTAGATTTTCCAAGAAGATAATTTATTTCAATAGTCAACACAATATTACTTGTAGAAGATAACTGGAAATGATACCTTATTCACAAATTTAGGGAGCTTCAAGGCCAATGCAGCAATCTTTGGAAACAGTGTCTTGTAGTAGTTTTCTGTATATGGGGTAATCTGAAAAGAAAATATGTTCATTGCTTATTATCGCTCATTTAAATAGTCAAGTCACAAAACTAATAATTCAATTACCAAATGTGGGTATTCACCTTATCCAATGTGTGGAGGGCATCAAATGACCACTGATCTTTATATTTGGGGTTATACTTGATGATAGCTTCCTGATGAGAGAAGTTTTAAGACCACCTAATATGCTTATATAACAGTCATAGAAATTCACATTAAGCATGGTCAAAGAATAGCACCCGTTTAACTTTTCATGTGTCCTTGGGAACAAATTTCACATTATCAGTGTAAAAATGAACAATGATTCAATGTCCACTCTTGCCAACATACCTCTACATCTTTGACACTGGCTGTTTTCTTACTGGCCAGAGATTTCAGCTTTTTGGATATCACATCCCACCTTGACTTCTGATGTGCTACCTGAAATGACAATTACATTTATGTGCTCTGTTCCATTTGAGACAACATATAAAATCTATATTATTTTTATATAAGCCTAAATGAAATACAATTAAAACACATTTAAAATGTGCTTCATGTTAGTCTCTGTCAGTGGGGGCAAATTTGTAAAACTAGCACACAACTGGAGACTGTGAGTCATAGTCCTGGGCTCCCAGCTTTTTGTGTTTTCAACTAATGGTACTTAACATTTAAGTATGAGTTATTGAGTTAGTCCAATTTTTGGTTATGGTTTTAAGTTTTGTGGTTTTCTGATTGCTCACTGAGGTTAAGATGCCTCAGTTTTTAGTCCTATCTTTCAAAATACAATTAAATTTCATTTATATAGCGCCAAATGGGGCGCAATTTCGGGCAGGGATAGCTCAGTAGGTAGAGTGGTGGCCCCATGATTGGCAGGTCGGGGGTTTGAATCCACTGAACGGCCACCCTGAGGTACCCCTAAGCAAGGTGCCGTCCCCGGGCACCCAGTGGCCGCCACTGCTTCACTGAGTGAATGGGTTAAATGCAGAGAGGAATTTCCCCACAGGGATCCATGAAGTATACATTATTATTAAATCATCACAATAGTTGCCTCATTCTGCTTTATGTTGTAAGATAAAGACTTTACAATTGCAAAGAGAAACCCAACAAAGATATGACCCCTGTGAGCAAGCACTTGGGAAAGTAAAAATTCCCTTTTAACAGGAAGAAACATCTGGCAGAACCAGGGTCAGGGAGGGCAGCCTTCTGCCGCAACCGTGTGGGGTTAAGGGAAGGGAGATGGGGCAAAAAACACAAGTGAAGAGAGCATATTGAGAAGATGGGAACAAGTACTTTGAGAAGCTGATGAATGCAGAATGCAGTGGAGGATAGAAGGGGACAGTTAGTGAATTAGGTGGAGCACTGTGAATGAAGTAAATAGAAAAAAAATGGAATCAAAGGGATATGAAAAGATTATAAAAGATTATTTAAAAAAAGAAAAATAAGGAAACAAGCAGAGGACAAGGACCACATGATCTGTCAGCCCCAGATGAGAAATTCACTGCAATAAAAAATTAAAAATCCAGACTTTCCAGGATCCATGGGATAGTGCCAAGAACTTATACTGTGAGTGATGACATCCAGCAATGGTAAATGGCCTGTATTTGTAAAGCGCTTTACTAGTCCCTAAGGACCCCAAAGCGCTTTACACATCCAGTCATCCACCCATTCACACACTGGTGATGGTAGGGCTGTTCGATATAACGATATATATCGGATGACGATATAAAAACATCTGTCGTTTCATTTTACACTATCATTTGTTTTGTGGTGTCGCAAAATAAACTGTTTACGGCAATATTTTTTCATTGTTTTGATGGTCACTGTAGTGGCTACATTAATTTCTTAAAGTTCTCTCTTTCTCTTATATTTTATATAACCACACTATGGACGGACAAGCGCCTGTTTTTATGCTTTGTGGTTAGCAACAACGACGGTAACACCATCGCGTGTCCGCTTGTTTATTTTCCACATAAACCTTTCACAATAAAGCTCAAAATCCTGTTGAGACTTTTCAAAATAAACTGAATGACGTGAAAGAGCAGATTATTTACAGATGAGAATTAAAAAAGAGCTGCCAGGTGCTAAAAAATAAACCTTAGACTCAAACATTAGAACAGGCTTTTCCCGCAGCACGCCGTGTAATAAATACTCACAAAGAAAACGGCGGCCTTTACAACTTGTGTCTAAAAATGTATAGTTTCATGCATCGGTTAAAACACTCGACTCCAGCTACATGACGCACAGCTGGAAACACTTCCCACAAGACGAGCTGCCCGAGATTCACAGAAAATGTTACATTTTTGTGATTTATATCGTTATTGGACGATAGAATTCTTATATCGGGATATGAGATTTTGGTCATATCGCACAACCCTAGGTGATGGCAAGCTACATTGCAGCCACAGGCACCCTGGGGAGCACTGACAGAGGCGAGGCTGCCGAACACTGGTGCCACCGGGCCCTCTGACCACCACCAGTAGGCAACAGGTGAACTGTCTTGCCCAAGGACACAACGACCAAGACTGTCCAAGCAGGGGCTTGAACCGGCAACGTTCCGATTACAAGGCGAACTCCCAACTCTTGAGCCACGCTCGGCCAATAGCCGCAATCACCCGATGACAGAATGAACCATTTGAAAGATATTTAAGATGAGATAAGAGATAATGGAATATGTTTAAATTAACAGGACGCAGAGATATACATGTTGTACTGCTGTCCACCTTGCTGAGGACACAGCTGTCTCTAAAAATGAAACTGTTGATTTACCAGTCGATCTAGGTCCCTCTCCTCACTTGTGGGCATAAACTGTGAGTAGTGACCAAAAGAATGAGATCATGGATACTAGCAACTAGTGACAGTTATTTTAATACATATATTTCAGTACCCTGTGGCTTGCTCATTAGTTTGAATTACTACTGTGTGAACAACATGCACGTCACTGTACATCAACACCAACTTCTTGCAGTCTTCTTATCTGGCTTTTCTCCAGCTACCTAGATAATACACCTCTTGAAACCTACACAAAGCAATTCTTAGCCTCCAGTGGCTCTTGAATGCCTAAAAACCTGTATAACATGTCTCGCAGGTTTGAAAAACCTCTGACAGTGAACTTATCTCTGTGCCTGTCCTGCTAGACCTCAGTGCTGCATTCGATACTGCTGACAGTAATATTTTATTACAGCGATTAGAGCATGCTGTTGGTATTAAATTTTTCAGTGATGCTGAAAAACATCATAGATATATTACTTCTGGCCTGGACTGCTGTAATTCATTAGTATCATGTCACAAAAACTCCCTGAACAGCCCTTAGTTGCTCCAAAATGCTGCAGCAAGAGTATTGACAGGGACTAGAAAGAGAGAACATATTTCTCCTATACTAGCTTCTCTTCATCTTCTCTTCTTCCCTGTTAATCCAGCATTGAATTTAAAATCCTTCTCCTAACATGCAAGGTCTTGAATAATCAGGTTGCATCTTATCTTAAATAACTTATAGTACTGTATCACCCCATTAGAGTGCATCGCTTTCAGACAGCTGGTCAACTTGGCTCCTAAAATATCAGAAAGTAGAATGGGAGGCAGAGCCTTGAATCTTTCAGGCCCCTCCTCTGTGGAGCCAGCTTTCAGTTTGGATCTCTACTTTTAAGATTGGGCTTAAACGGGCTTGCTGTGAGGCAGGCAGAGCAGGATCCAAATGTAAAACTCTTCTTGTAAAACACATCTGCTCATAGTCTTGAATCACAGGCTTGTGTCTTAAATTGACTTAATATTGCTATTAATGGCAGTTTAATTTTCTGAGGTTTTTATTTCTTTTGGTCACTTTGAGTTCTGGGTTGTGACAGCCACTGAACTTTACATGGTTACTTAATTATTTCTCCTGAATAATAAGTGAATCCTTTTGCAATGAGGAAGCCATACTTGCCTGTGAACAAGGCATCTTCACAAAGTCGCTGTGCCATAGATCTCTCCCTTTCTGAGATACAAATATCCGTTGAGAGTTGAAAGTATCCACCTGAAAGATAAAAAGTATAATTTCAAGAACACAACCAATACCTCTTTTCCAATAAATCATCCAATGGTTCTCCATGGTTCTTTGACCATGGGGACTCTGTCTGGAGCCTCCCTCTTCCTTCTGCAGGGATGGGCATGCAGTTATCATCATGACATCTGGCCTCAGGTCTTCACTGCTCTTGAGGGGCTGTGGACAGTGGGTCTCCTGGGCCTTTCTCTGTCTGCCTCTGACTTCCAAAGGACATTGTTGCAGTTTCTCATCAATTATGTTTCATGACTAACACACATGCAGAGACACTCATGGTCTCATACAAACAACATAGCAAGATTTGATTTTTGTGTATCAGTTTTTTTAACGTTTTGTTACGCAGGCAGTAGTTGGTGACCAATTGTGATTTTTCCTTTATTTCTATGTTTTTGTCTTTGCATCCTTTGTTCTCTTTATGAGTTAAAGTTTTCCAGTATCACTTTGCCTTTGTCTTTGCAAATTTGTACCTGCCCACCTATCAGCTCTGGCACTGTAAAACTACATCAATACTAATAGGAATTAATAAATAAATAAATAACTTGGTCTTACATCTATGAGGACTGTGTGTCTCTTGTCGAATCTTAGGGGACCCAGCTTCATGTCTCCATGTTGAAGTCGCCCCATATCCTTCAGCTGACAGCAAGATGAAGTCCGTTCCTTCTGTTGTCCGTCTGCTTGTCCGTCTTTTACATTCTCTGCACTGCAAATTCTTGAAGAGGATGGCAAGAAGCTGTCTTGATTTGTGCTATCATTGCTGTGCTGTTCTTTTTCATGCTTTTCTTTCTCCTTTTGAGGATTTTGCTGTGTATCATGCTGGAGGGCTTCTTTCATCTGAGAGCTGTCATTGTGTGTGTGGCGCTTCATGTCTGGGATATTTAAAGACAAGACATGACATCAGGATATCAAGAAGAACTTTTGTTTTAACTCCAGGACTGAAGAAAGAAAAGATCCCGGATAAGTACTTTGAAGAAACAGGCAACCAAATACTTGTCCAACACCTAGTTGGTAAAATCACAAACCCTACAGTCTACAAGACACGATTAGACACACTATCATGTCCCGATTTAAAGAAAGAAACACAGTAAAAAAGAAAGACAGAAGAAAAAAAACATTACTAGAAATTTGTGTGCAGATTAGTCTTTAGGTTCAATGAAACACTAAACCCTCCATCCATCCATTGGCTTCCACTTATCCTTTTCAGGGTCGCGGGGGGCACTGGAGCCTATCCCAGCTGTGTCAGGGCGAGAGGCAGGGTACACCCTGGACAGGTCACCAGTCTGTCACAGGGCTAACACATACACACAGACCACCATTCGCACTCACATTCACTCCCACATTCACACCAAAACATTAACATTAAACATTAAACATTCTTTTAAAATGATATCCACTGACTTTGTTTTCTCCTGCCATATAGATTTACTGTTTTAACCTACATAAAGGTGCATTTAACTCTATGTTAAATCCATCTAATTCTGCATTGTACTCAAGTCCTGACAGAATGACATGACCACACAGTGGATCCAACAGACTGGGTGCTGCTGGGTGGGAAGCTGTAGAAGGACTTTCTGAGATTGTCTAAAATTTTTAAAAAAAAAGACATTGTTATATCAGTGAGATTTTTTCTGACATGAAGGCTATTCTCATCATGCATCTTTGACTGCTTTACTATTCAAACATCTCTGATATTTTTGATTGAATATACCAGATGGAATTGTTTAAAGAGATAAAGAAATCACAGCTTGCCCATTCTTCCCATGCCACACACAGCTCAACCTTTATCTCCAGCTCTTCATCCTCAGTGCTGCAGTCGCTCTCAAGCCACTATGCCATAGCTGCTCGACAGCTGCACCACCTCAAACTGAGGCTCCAGTGATAACTGGGAGATGGCTTAGCCTTTCAAGGCCATCCATCTACTGGACTTATGACCAGTAAGTGGACCCCATGCTCCCTGCGGTGGACTCAGCCATGATCCTTCTTACTGGACCTGGGACTGCCTGAGTGTGAGTGTTCTCTGCCGACACTACCCAGCTTTCGAACCCTGGCACTGCTCCAGACTGGCTAGTCTGAGATTACACTACCAGGGGATGCTGTCGGCTCCACCCTGGGTCCAGCATTCTTCCTCGCTGCTCCAATTCCTACACTTTTTTTATACAAAATTATGATTCTCCCTTGCCTTGTTCTTGGTTCCCTCATGCCACACATAGACAACTCACTGCCACGGCAATCCCCAAGCCCATGTGGCCAGTAGGAGTCCTTGGTGTTAAGGTTTGTGTACAGTATCAGTGTATTTAAAATACTTTGAAATCGTAATATGATCATAGAATTGTTTGAATGTTTTGTTAGGTAAGGACTTAGGCTAAAGATCACATGACAGCTGTCCGACAGTCAGCATAGAAAAAAGCATGGACAGACTATGCGGGAAGATTGCACTCTAGACTGCAAAGCAATAATCTTCAAAATGGTAGAGATTATATATTGGTGAAACCAATAATCCCATGTTCTTCAGTCTAAGTAACAATACTACAATGAAATTACATATAGCCAGACATAGGTTTATCTAAGTGTTAATATTCTACAAGGCCTGTAGTGAAAATGCCAATATTCATAGAAAAACTTTGAAAGACTGTCAAAGCCTGGAGATCTGTTGCTCAAGACCAATTAAAAAAAAAAATATACAAGAAAGCCTTGGTCCTCAGAAGCAAAATATTGTAATGCTCTAATCATTAAATTTTTTCTCTTTGAGTAATCACTTGGGTTCTGTGGCTGGGAACCCCTGCAAACTGCACATTGCTTACTGAAGGACAGGTTGAATTTCTAATAAGGATTTATATATATATATATATAAATTCGAATGAATTTTATTCCAAGTAAATATCAGCTTTTGGAGATTGTTTTAAAGTATCAGGTTGCTTGATCGTCCGTCCTTGTCCTCTGCAACCTTGACCAGATCTATTTAACAAAAGGTGCAGGCAGTAGTACCCCTCTTTCTGCGGCACTGTTCAAAATAATGCATGCTGTTGCAACATGCCTTGTGCTATTGTGCAGACTAACTCTGTGTGCTTAGGGAGGCCAAATACAGCGATTACTCTTTCCATGAGAAGGTAGTTGGGCTAGTTTGTTTCCAAACTGCTACAACGCTGGAAAAGTGTGGATAATAGAAACGGAAACGCTCTTGATCTCACGCGATTGGCTCCGAACTAATGATCTCATGTTCACTTTTTAAACTACGTATCCTCATAAATCATAATTCACACTCACAATTTAGCAGAAAGAAGTTCAGAATGAAACAATTTAACACTAAGAAAACCCCAGGGCTGCCTGGAGGGGGACATTATTAGGAAGCAGCTTAAGAACCTATGTATGTAGTTTTACGGTAAGTATTGTCATTTACAGTCAAGACTGTGAGGATATTGGTTGCAGTCTGTAAAAAACAGTGTTTAAAAGCAAAACTAGCAACGTTCAAATCATATAGGCTACAAGACGAATATGCGACGGTTAAAGGCTGAAGTCCTGTCATTACACACGGAACACTCACCTTTTAACGCAGACTTCGCCGAAGGTGTTCACATTTAATGTATTTTAACTGCAATGTTAACTGTTGGCTTTATGGGTTTAAAAACAGTCGTCACCAAACCAGACACACTCAGCGTATGTGCCTTTTAGTTCACTTTCACTTTGACACGAAAACGAAAGTAAGGTTCAGGGAGCAGCTATTGGTTAAACTGCTACTACTTTCATTACTCAAGAAACTAGTGATGGGATTTCCGGCTCTTTTTAGAGAACCGGCACTTTCGGCTCGACTCACTAAAAAGATCCGAATCTTTCGGCTCCGACCGACTCTTCAGGTTGTTTTGTTGCTTTAAACTTTTTAGCTGTAGCGTACATTGCAGTGAGAGTCCATGGTTTTTGATTATAGCAGATGATGTAGGAGTATCAGGACAGGGACAGACTGTTAAGAATGTATAGAAGTATGAGGACAGAGAGACACTGTTAAAAAGTTATGAGCTGTCTTGATGCAGAGAAAGTGGAGTTTGTCATCCGGGAGCTGTTGCCAAGATTGAACGATGCTCTGGCTCTGTGGTCAAGTTCAGACATAGGCTTTAAGCAACCATGAGCCACTGATAAGCGTGATAGATTAATAAGCATGTATAAAGTGGACTTGTTAAACAGTTCTGATAGGAGAAAGTCAATGAGCACGCAATAAAGTGGACTTGTTAGGGACAATTTACCATCAGCCTTGATAAAGTTTAACTTATTTTGTATTGAAAGACAGACTTTAAAGAAGATTCTTATTTGAAACTGGTGATAAAATCCAGGTCAGATACAGTTACATACAAGCATACAGTACACACTACTGCTCAAAGGTCAGAAGTCAGTTAGAAAAGACCCTGATTTTAATAGAAAATTGGCTTTAATGTAACATCACATGAAGTTTATCAGTAATGTTTCACAGCTTTAATCAAATCATTCATCATCCATAAGTTGTGATGGAAAAATGTCTGCAAGCGTGCAGGAGCCCATTTTTAGAGACAATCAGTCCTGTGTTATAATGTTCATTGAAGTTTATCAGGTCAGACGACCAACAGATGATAAGAAATATAATCTTACTAATTATTAGAGTTGAAAAGTACTTTGCTAAGCAAAATTCAATGAGGTTAGGCTGGAGATTGAGACGTTAACATAAAAGGTTCAGTTGGTGATGCATGAAAGAAAATAATTTTCTTCTAAAAATCTATTGGAGAATTCTGATTGTAAGAAATGAAAAATATTCAAAGAGTGAAACTGTTTCACACAGTAGAAATTTGCATTCATCGTTTATATTGGGGTTTTTTCTGATTTTAGTGTTTATTTGTGAGTGTAGTTTTTATTTGCATGACTTTATTCTGTTTGTATCACATTGTTTCAGTGTGTTATTTTACATTGTTTTAATCCACTGTGGATTGGCTGGCAATGGGACAAATTAGCTGATAGAGATCACATGTTGAGGCATGGGTGTGTCCAGAGGTGTCCTTTCAGCTTTTTAAAGGTCGTATTAAAAGGAAGCAAGCTGAGCACTGGAAGGAGACAGGCCCTAGATTGGAAGAGGAACGCATGAAGGCCAGGTGGAAAAGAGAGAGTCGCTGCGTGATCGTGGGGGGTGCGATGCCTTGTCTGGAGACCGGTCAGCGTGATGTGGTGACCCAGTCCCGACAGCAGGAACGGCGACAGTAGGAGACAACGCATGTGATTGAGATCAGGGCAGATGTACACCACTGCCTGCATTTGTCAGTAGTGTCTCATTGTTGTTCACTGGGTGCAGCCATGTTGGGAGAGGGTCGCCATGGCTATAAGCCAGGGCAGCTTCCGGGATGATGGTCAGCCAGAGAATCCCCCGCCGCCCCGCCCTCTCCTCCCTGTGCCGCAAGCAGCAGGCGACCTCGCAAACGGAGGGCGCCCTTACTCCCAGCAAATGGGTGATAGAAAACCGATCGGTGCCTGTACTATTCCCAATATGCGCTGGCTGACGTCGGGGCAGCATGAGTACGAGCAATTTTTTTTTCTCGCCGATGCCCATGATGCCGCCCCCCACCAAGATGCCGCCCCGGGCAACCGCCCGTGTCGCCCATTTAAAAAACCGCTACTGGCCGCGGTGGTATCGAGCGACGGACTCCAATGCAGAATGCGAACTGGGCTGGGATGTGATGGGCCCAGTGGTGGGATTTTTGTGCATGAAGAGAATTGTATTTTTTACCAGTTTTAGAATAATCTTATCCAGTCTCAGTGGGAATATTAGCATATCGAGAATATTTCATTATATACTTTTTTTCTTAGTATCTGGTTTGTTCTATTCCTGCTGTCCACCTCATGGAATAAAAATGAATGAAACAATACTTTCCTGTCAAAAACAATATTTTAGTCAGGGCTAGCGGAAAGTTTCATCTATATCATGAACATCTTTCCTCTTTGTCTTCCTATAGTTTAGTTTCATTTTCTTACCCCAACCGGTGGAGGCAGATGGCCCCTATCTTACCATATATTTCAAGTTTATATGTTGTGAATTGGCTTGATTTAAATCAAATTAAACTCATTCAATTAAAACCAAAGATAACTTGTAATCGAATCTATTCAAATGTAAAGTCCTCTCACTCAATTTGGACAACTAGCACTGAAAAATACACTGACATCCTCTGTTTCCCAATTAGCAGATCAGAGATTACTGTTTTATTCATGACTCAATACTTGAATGGTTTTAATAAACATTTAAAAAGGACATTGCTTCATTGTCTGATTCATTCTTTGTCTGTGTCAGTCCTTAATACACACACGTATACAATAAATCTAGTTGCCATAGTCTCCGGAGACGTGCTCTGTTTTCTCATACTTTTCTTCACTGTTTACCTCATTCTGCCCAATAAAATCTACTAATTTTTGTAAACAATGACTTGTTTTATGCCATTAAAAAAGCTGTCTCCATATGAGGACGTACTTGAAAAGAAAAAGTCACCACTTTGCATTTTACAAATCAAGTAAACAAACACGGGGCTATTTATCATATAACTAACTTTTAGGTATGTGGGACAGAAGGACAGGAGCTTTAAATGTTGTGCCTCCATAATTATTCTAGAGTCTTTACAGTGTTCAGCGCCTGCTGTGATTTGGTGCTACATACATAAACTTGAAGTGAATTAATCCACCTGTTCACAGGAGATCACTGGAAGATGACACCAAACATCAGAAGATCTTATTGTGCGCCACAGTAAAAGGCTGGTTTCTTGGGGCTAAAAGCACATAATAAACTACAGCAGAAGCTCACATAAAGCAGGAAATAAGCAGGCACCACTTGATCTGCTAATGCACGTTTCCCACTTTTATTGTTGCCTCATTCACTAACAGTTTAATGGTGCAAGATTACCATACACAGAATTAGGATATCTGCATGAGACATCTGGGGTTAACTGATATTAATTGTCAGAGGAGGAAGGTGGAAAATATCATGGCTAGTTTTGTTTGAAAGGCATCAACAGAAAAACACACACAGAAAAAAGTGATGAGGTGAAGAAAGACACAATAAGTGTGCTGTCGTTTTAGATGTCAGCAGCTACTTTGTATAGTCCTATATCTCTGGTATTAGAAGAAATTGAAATGAGTTAAAATACACCTTTATTTCGATAGAGTTCAGATGGATGCCTAGCATGACTAATGAGTATATCCTCCAAAAAAAACAAGACTTCTAATTCACTCAAACCGCTTTCTAATAAAGAGGAAGCACTAATGTAACTCACCTCCTCAGTCGAGCAGCAGGGGTTACATTTTAGGTCTCCTTTTCCTCCCCCCCCTCTCTTACATTCAAACCCTCTCTTAGTTCACACTAGAACAGGCCGCCACACCATCATTTGGTTTAATATGAGTGGAACAACTAAACTGCACAGACTTTATTTGATCAGTTAGGTCAACCTTTTATTAATATCAGGGTTCATACACATCTTTCAGGGTCAAATTCAAGCACTGTTTAAGCACATTCAAGGTCCATTTTCAAGCTTTTCCAGCACATTACCAAAAAAGAAGAAAGCATGTTTCACTTTGCATCACCTCAGTAAGACCATGTAGAAATTTAAACAAATCATCTTAGGTCGACTTAAATGTCTTTTATGTCTGTTTTTTGTTAAAACAGAGAAAAATGCACCTCACAAAATACTGAAAAAGGAAACGGTTGCCTTACATGCATATAGTGTATAAACTCAACAAACACATTGCTCTTAAAAATTAAGATGTGCAAATGTGAACAAACCAACTTGTTAGAGATCTTCATCTCCACTGTAAATAAACAACAACCCAGAAAACAAGAAAATTGCACCAAACACCACAAACACCAACAAATTAATGTCTTCTCATCAGATATTGAAGCTTCTTTCCTGTGTGACATAAAAAATAGGAGACAGATGTTTGTTTGTGTTCTTTTTAACTAGTTAAGCACCCACGCCCAGAAAAATGGGGACATTTCATTTTCGAGCAGGAAGCTCCCCCTTTTTGTTACCCTTTAGATGAATAGAGTTTTTTTAATTAAATGCATATTCTTTAATAAATGTTATCTTTTATAAAAAGTAGGATAATTAAAACAAACTTGTATTGTAGTTCTATTGCGTAGAAAAAAAACTGTCTTGTTTTCTGTTGTCTGTTATATAATATTAGGGATGTTTGTGACAATCTGTGACGTCTCATCCTTCCAAAGGGCATTAGAGGAGAGTAGGAAGGAAAACTACCATCTCCAGAAAAAATGAAGAGAAACTTCAACTGGAGGACAAGTGTAGACGAATGGAAGCCCAAAATAAAGAGCTGGAAGACAGACAACAGCGCCAGCCGGACATAAAAATTATTAATGAGGGCTGGGGAATCAAGTTTGCTCAGACCCGAGAGCAGATTGTGCACCTCATTAAAGAAAACAAGCAAAAGAGTGCAGAACTAAAACAAATGACCAACCAGCTCCAAGACAAGAAAACGATGACTGATAAGATACAATGGGATCTCCAATACATGGACCGAAGGAATCAGCTCCTCCAAAGACAGCTCCATGAAGCTGTGGAAGAAAAGAAAGAAATCCTCCAACAGAAGGAAGAGCATGACAAAAAGCAAAGAGACATGCAGCACGAACTGAAGAGCATGCAGGAAAAATACCCAATGCTGAAAGAAAGCCTGGATGAAACACTGCGCCAAAATAAAGACCTTCTTCAACAGAAAGAGCAACAACAAGAAAGACTGAAAGAAGGAAAACATATTGTCCAGTACTTTGAGTCTAAAAATCTAAAACTGCAAGAGTTTTGTAATCAGCTGGAGGACAAAGCAACTAAAGTGGAAGAAGAAAAGGACAAGCTGGAGAAACGCTGCTCACAGATGCTCACAGGGATTTTGGTGGAATTCAATAACTTGAAGCATGAAAACACTCAAATTCAGGCACAAAAACAACAACAAGACAAAATACGTGAAGACTTGCAGCTCACGCTCCAAGAAATCCAGAAAAGAAACGAGCAGTTAGAAGACAAGCACAAAGAGGTCCAACAGAGAAATGCAGACATGCACAAGGACAAGCTGATACAGGAGGCAACATCCAAACAACTCAAAGACAAGCTTGAAGAACAACAAGCAACCTTAGAAGAGGAACAAAGATGTGAGAAACTTGAAAAGCAAAACACAGAAACAATCGATGAGTTGAGAAATCTCATCCTGGAGAAAAAAGCGCTCGTGGAAAAGTGCATGAAAAAAAAGAAAAAATGGTTCCACTTGTTCCGGAGGAGAGACGCTACTGCTTCCTCACCTGATGTAGCCTCGTCTTGCTCCACCTCTGTTAACCCCCCC